TTACATAAACCACTAACCATTACTGCATCAAAAACGTAACCCTAACTGCATCAAAAAAGTAATTCTAACGCACCTGGTTTTAACGTGGTACAGTACATGATTTCGACAGTGGTGGATAAGTTATTTTAACAGTAGTGATCATGAACTTAACAGTGAATGGGTTCGTGATTTTAACAACGGGCGGTTTACTGGCAAGTTTACAATTCAATAATGAGTGAATTCATAATTTAACAGTAATTTCAACAGTAGATGGGATGGTTAGCAATTCTAACACTTAGTGAAATTATGAAGGTTTCGATATTTTGGTGAATTTACAATTAGTTTATGATCCTATACAAAATTTTATTACTGTTTTCGAAATGAAATCAGAGATAAAAAAAAAAAAAGTTTCGCGTATACCTGTATGCTGTGTATACTCGTATACTGGATTGCCCAGGCACGTACGTACTTAGTATATGATTTGTACTGACATTAATGTATATGCAATTGACAATTGTATATACGCAATCGAAATTGTATATATGCAATTGACAATTGTACATTCGCAATTGACAATTTTATGATTGACAATTGCACGATTAGTGGTTTCGTATACACTTGATCAATGTATGTACGTACATGCGTACCTAGGTAGTCCGGTATACGAGTATACTCAGTATGATATACGGGTATACGCGAAAAAAAACTTTTTACCTGATTTCAATCATTTCGAAAACAGTAATAATTCAACGTTAATTTAGGGTTTTTTCAAACACCTCGCTCAATGGATCGGAGGCAAAATTTCGATAAACAAATCAGCGAGATACAAACCATCTTTTTTCTTCAAAAATTTAACATTGATAAAGGTCGCTCAAACATTACTTTTAATTTGTTACATATCAAACATAATAAATAATGAATTTTCAATACATTTTTAGCCGATATGAAAAAATAGTCACTTTATTTTTAATTCTCGAAGCTTTTAAAACAAATAATTGATACCTTGATCTGAACGTAATGAATACAACCCACCTTTTAACCTTTAATCAAACCATAATGAATACCGCTATTCATTTTTCGTTCAATAAAATTTAAATATTAATATTCACAAGAAAAAAATTTTATTTCTTGTTGCTGTAATGCAACTTTCGCTAATGATTCCATAAATAGATTCTGTTGATGTTGCAACAAAAGATTTACATCAATAAAATCATTAAAGGAGAAACCAACGCAGCCGAAGTTAAAGTTTCGGCAGTCAATTGAGTAGAAATTTTTTTTTAAAGTGTTTTAGGTGGCATAACGTAGATCATGAAAAACAGAAAGAGTATGATTAAACATTTAATTCTATAAATATCGTCATTGACTGAGATACTTGAGCGTCGTCGTCATGATCATTGATTGATTGAGATGCTTGAGAGCACCCTTAGTCTGAGATTCAAAAATATAAACAGTATTAACCTTTATTAACCTTACACTTGGATAGTTTATATTTTATCGAGTTTTGTCATGAGTATTGTCGGCATCGCTAGTATGTACATATAAATTTTGCGGGACACTGAACCCAGTGATTATTGCGAATTGAATTGATACCCTTGATATAATCACATACAAATTTTAATTGATCAGAAAATATAAACAAAATCAGGTGATGCATGAAATGACGTTATTTGTTTACTAACACTAACAAATTGGGCTAAACTATGCTATCACCTAACCCTAACACTAACCTTAATTTAGGCCGAGTGTTTGATCATATGATGTGATAATCATGAAGATATCACTGGGTTCAGTGATCTTCAATCTTCCTAATTTTGCGAGTAATCATGAATTTATTTAAAACTAAACATCAAAATGTCACAAATTTCAATTATCTAGTCGAATGATACAAATACTAGATCGAAAAGATTTTTTTAATTACCGTTATAACTAGAATCGCACGACAAAAGTAGCCGTTAAAATAATAGAAAATGTAAATTATATGTACATGTCATGCCTAAAATTTGCAACTTTAGGCACCGGAAATTACACCTATCTAGTTTCAGGGCTAATTAGGGTGTTCTCAAGCAGCTCCCTCAATGTGATTAGCTAGTGATCGGGATGTTGCTCAAATAATTGAATGGTTATGAAGGACTTGCTAAAATTTCATTGTGCGAAATGCGGATTTTGAATTTTAACCAATCAGAGCAACTCTATGATAAAAAAAGATGATCTACACCTCCAGATTTTTTCACCGAAGTGGTAACCTTGGTTAATATCCGACTAATTAAAATTTTGCCTCCGATCCATTGAGTGAGGTGCTTGAGAACGCCCTTAGTCATGTGCAACTTCGAGCTGGCGTCAACTTCAAGCATGACAATTTCAATTGTATATATCAATACACTACAGTAATAATATAATACTGCAAAATCCATAAAATTACGTTTACCGTTTCTGCACGGCATCAAGAATAACAAATTACTAAATTTTCTCAAACTTTATTTAGTTATCTATTACAATTTATCACAGCATAACATAATCATTACTTTCATTTGAAAATATTTGTGTATTCTTTATACCATTGAATTGTTATTTGTTGTCCCACTATCGTTCATGCTGCCTCCCGAAGGATCTGTCACGACGGCTTGTATCTGTTTTAAAGTATTGATCAGATCTTTAGTCTGTTCACTTTCTAAAACTGCTTTCAATTTTGTGACCACCTCCGAATTTAATGTTTTCAAACTAGCATTTACACCTGTGGGAATGATTGCTTGATTCTGATTTAGCTTATTTCCAAGGGGTGAAAGATCATCGAAATTAGTCAACAACTTATTTGTAACAGAAGATAACGTAGTATTCCATATTTGAATAGAAGACATGGATTCATTATTTTCTGGAATTTGCCTTGATGATGTCCAATTATTAAAGTCAGAGTATGGTGTTGTATAAGATTCAATAGAATCAATGTCCTCAGATTCATTTTCTGATTCGCTATCATACATATCACTAGAAGGTAGAATTTGAAACATTTTTTTCTGTGTTTGACGCTGCAATTCTAAAAGTGCTTCCTTCCGTGATGGTAATTTAATGAATGGAATGGTCCAATGCCGTAGGTTGATATCAACCTTACAATTCTCCGATTGTTGGCGTAACCAGTTTACATAGGAGACTGCTGCCATAATATGAGCACAGGACCCTCCTCTAACTAGAAAATGGAAGCAATGGCAACTAAAGATAGGTTTAAGGCAAACTGAATAAGAGTTCATTTCATCATTATCACGACAAGTCTCTGGATTTAAATTATCAGTGTTTATAATAACATATAAAGATTCTCCATTATACTCGACTGAGAGGCTCTTCCCTAATAAATTAGTAGCTTCTTGCCATGTTTTTGGGTCATTTTCTTCAAAGGCAATAGTATTAATATGCTGCTCAAGTAAACATTTCCATTGTCCTTCTTCTAGTTCTTCTCCCTGAAGCACTGCTTCAAGTGCTGACTTTTCATTTTTGAAAAATGTCTCAACGTAATTCCATAAATGACGCTGTATAATACAAATAGGTGTGATGAACTTTAAAAGTAAAAGACTTAAAACATCCAAACGCAAAAGGTGACCTCTTTGTTGAAACCTTAACATCCGATTTGAATTAAACTGTATTTGGAATCCTTCTCGATACTCTGATAACCATGTGTTTACATTAACACCTATTTTGTTGGCAGCTCTTGATCGGTTACTATATGACCACATTTCCATGTCATTTATCCAATTTGTTTGCAAATATTTTAAAAACTCGCATAGTCCGTTATATAAAAATAAGATCGTTGTATCAATCTTATTATTGAATGCTTCTGCATGACGTTCCTAAAATAAAAAAGCGCAAAAATTTTATTTCATGCTATTGTCAAGAATAACAAGTTTTTATTAATTTTACCGTTGCACGCCGTTCCATTTCCTGAACCTGCGCTCGTATTTCACTTTCCGAGGCACGTTCTAATCTGAAAACGATAATATTTACAAAATAAATAAAGGTAATTAGTTGATATTAAGACTAGACAAAAAAATTACTCACACATTAAATAAATTTGTCAACTCATCTCTGAGGGCTTGACGACATTCGATAGCTTTGCTGCCTCCTTTAAATAAAAATTCATCTGCTTTTGTCTCCCAACATAGCCGCACTTTATGAGGTGAATATAACAAATCAATCCCGTTCCAGACTTGAGAAACCACACGTTCCCTAAAATCTCCAATAATAGCAATCTACAATACAATAACCATAAATAATGGAAACAATTGATTGATTAACCTAATCATGATGAAATTATTGTATATTATTAGACTAGTTAATATTTACCCTTGGAGTAAACTCTTGAGAGTTTCCGTTACTGTTATTCAATCGTTTTTTATATTCAATTAATAGTTTTTGAAGAATTATATCTTCATTATTGTTCTCTTCCATCGCGTGAGGGCTATTTGATTTAGAAAATAGCAGATATCCCACAGGTATACCTTTGTTTTGCTCATCAATAACCATGATAACATATAATAACAATTTTTTGTTTCCAGTTTCGAAAGAATCATCTAAAATAATACATTTTTCATGGCCATATTGCCATGCTAGAGAAAGTTGCTCTTCAGTTGCTAGCACTAAACAAACGTGATCATGACGATGTTTTCGTTTTTCGAAATAAATCGCTGAACGGAATAAATCTGGATCTTGAGCACCCTCGCCAAAATAGTATTCGAGATTATAATCAACGGATCGATTCACGTTGATGGGCCATTGTTTTTGGGTTTTAATCCAACGTCTTGCATCCTTAACGTCATAAATTGTAACTAGAAAATATTGACCTTCTAACGTCGTTCTTCCTGATAATTTTTTTCTTATAAAATATTGGTTTAAAGATATAATATCTTTTATAGATACATTTGCTCTAACCAAAAGTTCCGTCATGTCTTTAATATCACAATTAACCTTTAAAGTCGGTGTATCTTTCTTTGGCAATGCTCTATGGCAAGCTTCAGTGTGTTCCAAGTACCCATGAACTCGTCGGTACTTTCCATTATTAACATTTTTTTCTACTCTAATAAAAGCTAAACATCCAACAAAATCATACATTTGTCGAAGTTTTCTTTGTTTTTCGACTTCAATTTTTCTTGTTTTTCTTGCAGATTCCATATCGGATCCACAACAACATTGATATAAAGTTGCACCATTCTTTTTATCACTCCAACGAGTCTTCCATCTTGAAGTTGGAAAACTAACATAAGGAGGCCAAAGTCCTTGAAAACTCAAATACTCTTTAGCCTCATTTTGATCTTCTTCACTTTCTGTCCATATTTTAGTAGTAAAAATCTCTTTACTAAGATCCGATAGATTAGGTTGAAAATTGAAAATATTTGTTAATTCCTCTTTTTGCTTATCATTCAAAATTAGTTTTGAAATTTTCGGCTTTGCGTTAACACGAAATTTTACTTGTTGCATGACGAATTGTTCTTGATTCATGATGAATTCAGAAAGAAAAAATAGAAAAAAAAAATAAAGCGAGAGAGATTAAATGTTCCCAATCAAGCAACACACGGTGCAAAAATGCACACAGGTTGCATAATCGCATATTCATTATTCATGTGTATAAGTTTGATTGGTGCTTTTTACCTTTTGTTTACAAATGACGCCCCAAAATTTGCCTTTTAAACTGAAAATGAGGTCATACCGGATACCGATACGACAATGATAGACAATGTTCCCGCAAATAGTTAAATATTGAGGTAAACTCGCTTTGTTAAGAAAACAAGTTGCTTTATTCTAACACACAGAATCGGTATACTTTTTTGAGGATAGTACAAGGTTTTTTACTATTTTTAACGACCAAACGATTAGTTGTATGAGCAATGTTATTTGTAATGTAAATATTTTAATTGCGCATATTTTAATTGTGTATATTTTTAAGATATATATTAAAAGTTAGTAAAGGAACCAATGCACAAACTTATTGTAAAATGCCGGAAGTTTCCGTTTAAGACAAATTCCGATGCATTCGAAATTTCCATTTAAAATAATTTAAATTTCATTGGTCGTTATATCAGAACTTCTGCTCTTAGGAATGTTTACAGTCTGGTCTTGCCCGGTCTGGTCTAGTTTTTAACTGCCTACAGTTTTAAAACTTAACTGGTAAAGACTGGTACAGACTTGTTTGATCTTAAGACTGAGTGCAGACTAATTTTTTTCTGTTTCAAAGTGGTCTAAACGTTAAAGCTAACTGTGGAATCATCAGTTTAAACCTGTATTGTACCACTTTTCTTTTTCCATTTTTCATGTCTTTATTATTTATTTCCTCTCCTGATGCATACTCATTATTATCGTCTCCTGATATCACATCATTAGGTCGTTTTATTACTACGTAATTCCGAGTTGATCTCTAGTGACATCCCTACTTACTATAGATTTAACCTCCGTTTAATAGAAACATTTCCGGAAAAATAAAAATATCAAATTTTGTGCGCTGTTGCAAAACGTACGTCAATTAATTCTTTTTGCTAGCTTTATTAAATGATGAAATAGCGTTTAAAATGATTTAAAATGATTTATATAATGTAATGCTAAAACCTTATCAATTATTTTAATTTTTTAAAATACTGTACTTCAACGCAGGAAATTCCATTAGAGGATTTAGTGGGAGAATAACACCAGCTTTTTGTGTAAGGTCAGCGCAAATCTACGATGCATAACCTGCGCATATCCTGACGTCAGAACAGAATTAAGAATTAAGCATAAGGACATAAAGTTACAATTCGTAATGTTTATCGGAAAAAAGCTAATTAACATTGAAAGTTGCGCTGCTATCGTAAATTCGTAAATGAGACAATGGTGATCTTAGAAAGATCTTTGATAAATTATCACATATGTTTACTTAAAACACATATCATTTTATAGAAAATCATTTCACAGACATTTTATTTCATAGACAATCAGTTCATAAACAAGTTTATTTGAAGATAGTTATTTATAAACAATTATAACTTTCTAATATACTAATCTATTTTGGATAATTAGATTACCAAAATAATCATCTCATGAAGTCAATCGTTTTGGTAATTAAATTACCCAAAAAGAACCAATAGATTAGAAGTTATTCACTGTCAAAGATTGTCTATAAAATGAATTGTTTGTAAATTAATTGTCTTCAAAAATGAGTTTGTCTATGAATTGATTGTCTATGAAATGAAATATCTGTGAAATGATTGTCTATAAAATGATACGTACCCCACTTAGAGAGGTATTATATAGGGAGGGTGCGCTTAGAGAAGTCTGACTGTATTAGTATAGAGAGCAATATTTAAACCGGAACATGTATTGAAAATTTTTCGACCTTGTTCGTGATTTGAGTTCGTTCGGATTTTTGTATTTTATTCTCAACCCATGACCCGTCAAGAAACTGGCCTCACTGGTCAGACGACCCAGCTGAGAGCTTTACTGTTTAGTAAATTATAACAGTATAATGTCTTCTACCATACAGTTATATAGGTAAATTACGTAATATAGCATTTTAGTGGGGTTTTCCTATTTTGAATTCTGACTCGTTTGACTCGAACAGGACCGGGAAAATTTATTATAGGTCCCCCGCCACAATAATATTCGAATAATACTATAAATTTTAAAAAGTGGGATTGACTTATCATTATTATAAAACCTTGCGAATTCCTCGGCTTTGTATAATTCGCAGAAAAAAAGTCATTTCAGGGATTAGGACGGGATTATGTGTAACAGCGGGTCAATTAAAGTGGGACGAGGTTTAGGGTTACCTTTTTGATACAATTATAGCTAGTGGGTTATATAGATAT